ACACACACACACACACAAACACACACACACACACACACACACACACACACACACACACTGATCAGTAAACACGGTGCTGATTAAGCACAAGGTTTTAAAGGTTCAATCAAGGATCTGATCAGAGATTTTCCTGCAGATTAACAGAACTGCAAAGATTCAACTGGAAACTCTGATTTTCAGACTTCTCTGTTTGCAGGATTTAAATCCAGACACAAATCATGCTCAGGTTACTAAATAATAAATATTTGATGCTGGGTCAGGTGCACGTTAAACAAACTGTTCATTCTCTGCACTTGTTGAATTAAAATTATTTAACCAAACTTTGCTCAGGCTGCGTTCATTTTYCTGATGTTTATCATGAAGGTGGCTCTGAGTGGTGGTCTTCCTCTGATTCAGGACGAGGCTTTTTTTAATAGTTTATTTCATTTGGAGTACACAAAGAATACAAATAAAAGAAGCCAAGAGCAAAACGTTAGATGAAAAGGAGCAGAAAAAAGACAAAAAAATCTCAGCATCTGCCCCAGTTTGTGTGCAGAGACTGTAACAGCTGGAAAATAATGTTTGAGGGAATATTTAACATTATCAAACTATTTAAAAATCCTCAGTTTGATTTTTACTTCAGCTATCTAAATCCAAAATAAAATATAATTTAGAGAGAATTTTTTCTTTTTGCATTTTAACAACTCAAACATCCTGCAGACACAACTCCCAGAGGTTTTTATCATCCTTTCAAGTCAATCCTCAGAAAAATAAAGATGGATAAAAAAAGTCAATTAATAGATTTTACTGATGCTTGCAGGAAGTAATTATTGAACCAGAGAATTTGCATTTCCTGTAAAATGCAGTGTGAATGCTTAACGCTGAAGGCTTTGTGCTGAAGTTAAAAAAGCTGAAATGAGCCTAAAATGGCTAAAAGAAAAGTTGAAATTAGAAACAGAAACAGCACTTGTTTGCTGAATTAAACACTAACAACTTGAAATTATCACAAAAATGTGAATTAATCAKAAAAAATCTCAAATTAGCAAAAAAGAAAAGCTAAAAACAGAAAACAGCTGAAATTAGCTGACAGAGGCTGAAAGAAACACAATAAACTCTAAATGAACAGAAGAGCAGAAAAAAACTAAATGAAAGTTTAAAAAAAACAGAAAAAAGCTAAAATCTGTCAAATATAAAGCTGAAATTAATAAAAGCAGAACCAAAATAAATGATATAAAGTTCTGTAAGGTTTTATTTTGAAAGGGTTTAAGGAAGTTGAAGACAGCTCCATGTATATGTATGCATCACTACATGTGTATGTATGTATTATATACACATATATACAGTATATGCATCACTACATGTATACGTATGTATTATATACACATATATTGTTGTGTTTTAGTTTTCTCTGCAGGTGTGCAGACAGACATCAGCTGTGTTTTCTTGGTGTACAGTATATTTCACAATCTTTCAATCTTTTCTATTATATTTCTTCTTTTTCTTCTCTTTATTTTTCTTCATTTTTATAGTATTAAAAATTACTATAATGAAGAAACTAATATTTAGTTCTTTTTTTCTGCTGAAGTGGTTAAAAAAGAAGATAGCTCCATTTATTTTTAATGAGACAAAAAAGCTAAATATTCAAAAAGTATAAATAGCTGAAGTCATTTGTTCTGCAGGAGCTGAAGGTTTTGATGTGTTAACTGTTGAAGCAGCACAAAAATCAGAGATAAAAGTAATAATCAACAGTTTGAATGAGCTTTATTAACATCTATCTCCACCTTTGAGATGAGCAGCTTTAACCTGAGCCTGGAGCAGCAGTCTCATGGAAATACATGTAGAAATATTAAACAACTTGATAAAAGAAATAAATGGCTTTATCAAGCCGTTTATTTCTTTTATCARGCTGTTTCATTATTTGGACATGTATTTCCAGAGATGTCAGTTTTGATCCTCCGTACAGYGTCACTCAGGAGGCAGTGTGGCTGATGTGCATTAAAACACTCTGACTTCATCCTGCAGGTTCTGATCAGGTGAAACCAGCYGACACTCAACAGGTTCTGATTAACTTCCTGTTTTTGGTCTAAATAAACATGATGCACAGAGGAACCAGAGGCCGATATTCTCTGGTTATTTTAATCTGCAGTTATTGATGAGTTTTTCTTTAATCTGGCCTGTGAAGGAGCTCGCTGCTCCGTGTTTATTGACCCGTCAGTTAGAGGAGTTAAAGCAGGAGGCAGCAGGGTGGCGTTCCCCCGGGGGATCCGTCACACACAGGAAGGCAGATCAGCAGTATTTGTAAAAAGTCACACAGAGCGCTGCAGAGGACACTCCACTTGTCTCTGAGATTAACGGCACCAGAATTGATCGGTGCAGAAATGAAGCCGGGGTTAAAGGGAAAACCCCGGAGAAGTCCTGGAAAGAGTCGGGTCAGACAAACTGCAGCTTTTCTGCACTTCCTGTAAAAACAAGCTGCTCTGCAGGAACTGAACATCTTATTATCTCTTAAATTTGCTTCTTTTCTTGTATTGAATCAGACTTGAAATGATTTGAAATGTATTTTTACACTGACACAAGTCAGCTGAACAACACTGTTTTACAGGTTTTACAGGTTTTACGTTGGTATTGTTGAAGTCAGGGGCGAAGCCAGAGGGGTGGCTAAGGTGGCAAGTCCCACCCCAGCCCCCTGACTGGCCACCCCAGCTGCCACCCTCAGGAGGGGATCTGTGATGTTGTTTTTGTATTYAGATCAGGGGTTTTCAAACTTTATGTGTCTGGGGACCCCTTAAAAGAGTGAAAAAATTCCAGGGACCCCCCCCCCCCCCCCAAATAAAGCCCATGCTGTTAATGCAAAAATAATTTACTTAATAATGCATTTTAACCCCTAAATGCCATTATAATAGTATTTTTGTTTGGTTTAGTATGTTTGTTTTACATTATTCCCCGTGTGCATTTTTAAAATAAAAACCAAATTAACAATTTCTTGAAATTTTCTGAGGACCCCCAAGACACGACTCATGGACCMCTGGGGGTCCGAGAACCTCTGAGTTAGATTACTACTGTACTCTATACAYCTTTAGCTGATTATGATTAAAAATGGCTGAATTGTCTCCCCTGGAAAAATTAGCATTAGCATCAGTGGCTAGCCCACACATGCTAATCCCAAATTAGGCTAACCAGGTTAGCCTAATTTGGGATTAGCATGTGATCATTTTTAGCTACTCAACAAATTTCATCTGAATAAGTTGTTTCAAAATGTCTGAATAATAAATTATTATGTTGCTTGGATCAATCTTAGCTTTCAGCTCAATATATCTTAAAACAGCTGAAAGGGGTTTGGGAGTAGCGTGTCGGCCATCTTGTTTTTTCAAATCCAGCTTTTCTTTATTTGTATGTGCCCCCCCCCCCCTCACAAATGTCTGTCTCCACCCTGAAGTGCCAGATTTTCTGCATTTTTCTTCAACAGAATTAGTTTATGTTTAGATAAATGCATTATTGATGCTACAATGTTTGTTTCAGAGAACACGAAGGGTTAAATCCGAACTAAACCTGAGCTAACCTTTAACGCTGAGAGGCTGGATTTCCCTCCGACAGACAAACATTTCAAACCTCAGTCATAATCAGTATGTTGCTGCAGCCCTGCTGCTAACATTAAAGCAGATAAASGCAGATTTATCTTCAAACCTGCTTCAGGTTTGTCTTCAGGATCAGACATGAAGGTGTTTCCAGCAGCTCGTCTCTTCATCAGCTGAAGGTCATCTGTGGAGCTCAGGCTGAAACGAGCTGCAGCAGCAGTTTGAGCTTCAGAAGGAGAAGAAACGCAGCAGAATCCCTTCATTAATCTGGATTACTCTGAACTTTTTACTGCGCAGAGTTCCAGCAACAACCACAACATTCACGTCAGGTTTTATCTTTTTAATCATCTTCAGAGTGAAGTGATTGTTGTTGGTCAACATGTTGATTGTGTTGTTAGATTTGTTTCACAGCAAAAAGAAAAATTAATTCATATTAAAATTATCTATATGACAAAAAAAAAAAAGATCCTGATAGAAAAACTGTGCTGCGTTGTTACTGAGAGCTGACAGTGAGTTGTTAAAGTCAGGGGTGTCWCTAGGCCTGTTTTAGGGGGGCTGGAGCCCCTAACCATAACTAATACTGAGGAGCACGGACCTGATGAGTACAGGCACGGTATAAAAGTACTGTCAGCATTCACAGGTCTATATAAAATAGTTTTAGTGTTCAGTTTTGGAGTATTTTTGAATTGATGTTAAAATATTATTTGGCCTTGAATGATGTAAAAATAATGAAAAATAATAATAATCTGAAAGTGTAGGTATTGTTCTCTAAATAAATGTTACTGAAATGATACTTTGCACTGTATATAAACACACACACACAGACACACACACACACACACACACACACACA